AAGCTGGACACAACGAGCCGTGTAACCATCCTACGCCATGCTGGCCTTCCATCCCGCGTCCCATCCCAGCGAACTCTGAAATGAGCATCCATGTTCATCAGGATACAGACACATCACGCCTGTGTGAGAGGAATTCTAACCAGCTGTATGAGTCACAGTCACAACACTGCTGAATTTTCAGCCATGGCGAGCAGGGCTACGGCATGACAAAATAACGCCTGTACCGGAGACCGCGAATCAAACAACCTCACGCCGTACATGACAACAACATGTACAGTTCATTGACCATGCAACAGCATCCTCCGGCCACAGAGAAAGTGTCATTGAAGAATTCCTCCAAAACACAGTTCAGTTCACCGGCATGTCACCTCCACCACCAGACAGCAAGGGGGCAATTAACCCTTCGCAGCCCAGAGCTGGCCTGGAATGCATCACTGCAATGCTTAGCCACACTGCCGGGGGGGAAAAGGTTACAGCCACTTAGTGCCCCCATTGCAAGAGGTGAAACCCCCCTGTGCCCACCTCCCCTAAAAGATGACAGCACTGGCATGGTGCACCCCATCCACTGCTCAATGCAGGGCACCCCAAAACATCAGAAAACAAAGCATTACAATATTTGCACAGGGCACCCCAACACACCAGAAAACAAAAGCATTACAATATGTGCACAGGGCACCCCAAAACATCAGAAAACAAAGCATTACAATATTTGCACAGGGCACCCCAAAACATCGGGAAACAAAAGCATTACATTTTCACAGGGCACCCCAACATATCAGGAAAGCTAGTAATGCAGTTTTGCACAGCCAAGAATTACAATATGTGCACAGGGAACCCCAACACATCTGGAAACAATATATTGATATAAATGCCCAGGGCACCCCGACACCAGTAAATCAATAAATGTCCAGGGCACCCCAGAACGAGTGTAGTCATATTGGCCCAGGGCGCCCCGACACCAGTATAGTCATATTGGCCCAGGGCGCCCCGACACCAGTATAGTCATATTGGCCCAGGGCGCCCCGACACCAGTATAGTCATATTGGCCCAGGGCGCCCCGACACCAGTATAGTCATATTGG